TTGACCAGTTAACGCCCATTGCCATAAGTAGTTTTAAGTACAGGTAGAACCTGAAGCAAACGAAGCTTGAGTGCAAAGCGGCGGAAGACAGAAAACTTACCTTTGCTTATCGTGGTCTTGGGTGCTGATTCTGTTCTCATTTCGTCTCAGAATGGCGGTCTCTTGCTGCATTTCCCGTATCCTGAAAGAAGTCCGCGCAAAAAGCACCACATTCGCAATTATAATGATACAGAGAGGCAGATAAAAGTACACTAGTGTAGTCTCTCCAACTGAAACAAAGGGTTCATTTTTATGCATGGGAAAATAAGCGTAGTCCTTACGAGAGAACCAGCACTGTCCGTCGCCAATGCCAGGCTTATACCAGGCGTTTGGGGGCGCACTGACGTTTATTATCGTTATAATAATGATGTAAACTAAGGGCACGCCCCAAGAGTAGATTGAATACATTAGGAAACGTTTTTGCTCCACCTCCTTCTTGTTACCACTCAAACCCCTTATCCCTCTGAAAACATGCCCACGTGAAATCCACCGGACGGTAGTATACCTACTCACTTGAACGTCCACCAAATATCAATAGACATAACGTTCATCCAAAGGAACGACACCATGAAGAAGAACAGGCATAAAGTACCTAAGAAAAGAAACGGAATCAATTTGGATTACAAAGTTATCGGTACCTACCCAAGGCGATGCAGCCTGCGCCGACAATTTCGGTATGCTCCTGTATTATCACCAGGAAAAGGTACGCGCCGAACAAGGATATGACGTAGCTCATCAGCGATTTTCCGTGCATGTTCCTTTCGGGCAGGAGGCCGTACACGATGAAGGTGGCCAGGAGAAATGGCATGGAAATTATCATTCCTGAAAAAAAAACAATCTTATCAATCTGGCTCGCTAACAAAAGCGTAACAATTCGTAGTCTTGTACATAAAAAGAAGTGCTCGTGGCAAATACATCAAACACACAAAGAAATTTTGTTCAAGTAAAGCCGAAACTCCAAAATCTAGGGACAAGCTTTTATCAATCAATCATTTACGTCATTTTTGGGTATATTCAACTACATGTACATCAAATTTTCTGCATTCCTTCGTATCTTCATCAATTTTTCTTCTCTTCCCCGCTCGTCGAATATTTCTCTCCTTCTTTCTACTTCTTTACATTCCCATATCAGGTGATCTATATCTTCCTTTTTCTCTCCACGAATTCTGCATCTCTTTTCTTCTCTCCGCTTTTCGTTTCCTCTCCTAGTTTCCTCATTTAAATCTCGCCATTATTTTAATATTTTTTCTTCCAACCAGAGCTGGGCAGTATTCGATTTTGTAAATACTTTTTAGTATTCAAATACTTTGTAATTAAATACTTTTATGGAAGCAGTATTTGTAATCAAATACTTTCACAAATATTTAGTACTTATTCGAATACTTCGCATAGTATGTGAATACTTAAGCTTAACCTTTCTTTTTTACCAAAAATCAACTACTTTTACTTTACTGTAACTTTTGAACTAGTAGCCCAATCTTGGAACTGTTTGAAATTATTACTTTTACTCCCCTTAAATTTGTATATAACAATAGAGATATAAAAAAAGCTAATCCCATACAAAGTATTTTTAAGTAGTATTAAGCCTTTTATCTAGTATACTATTTTAAATTTTTAATGTATTTGAGTGACAAGTATTTGAATACTTTTTACTGTATTCGAATACTTTTGAAAGTATTCGAATACATTCTCAAGTATTTGAATACTTATTTTTTTAAGTATTTGAATACTTTTTAATGTATCTGTATCTAGTATTCGCTTGTGCTGGACGTAAAAGTATTTAGTATTCACATGCCTTTGATTTGTGTAAAGTATTTGAATACAAATACTTTTTGAAAGTATTCTGCCCAGCTCTGCTTCCATCCCTTTGGTATTTCGGTACCTTCTCCATTGAGCTTCTTATACCAATAAATGGAAGACTAAATGGTGGATTTGAATCAAAACTTTCTCCAAATGCTCTCTCTCAACCCTCAATTACTATGACACTGCTTTTGTAGTTTATATTAGAAATGTTATTAGCGCTCAAGAATTACTATTAGCTTAAAAGCAATTTTAATCTCTAGTGTAATTAAATTAACCAATAAAGGTGTGTCGCGTTCTTTTTCTGTTTTGTACAAGAAAAACCCGGCACGGGGTGTGTTTTCGCATAATTATGTATATTGCATCGTAAGAGGGTGCGTATGTTTTTTTTTCGCTGCGGGAATTTATGGTAAGCCGATGATACAGCGCATTAAATTCCATTTATATAGTTAACACACACACAGAAATGGGCCATTAGGGTATTTTATCGCACGAGTAAATTCTCTTATGATGCTGATGGCTTAATCAACGAATGGAGTCTTGTTTGTAATGTATTTTATGAGTGGTTAATTAACATCGTTTGGACCTGGACTGGAAGTTGTTCTAATTGCTTGATGATTACAATTACAATTGGGCATAGGCAATAATAGGAATTTATCGCTTACTGGGGAGCTTTCTACGTTATTGTTTAAGAAGGTTATTACGTCAATTCGAGGATCAAACTAAAATGTGAAGCTCAAAAACTTCGTAAGATCCTTTTAAAAGACCCAGGGCAAAATGTGGCGACACCGGTGCGAGGTGAGGCTTTCAGATGTCTCCCGGAAACCCACTTTCCCGGTTCTGGGGACTACGTAACTTCGGAACCACCAACAGGAGCTACCCGGTTGGTGGAAAGTACCTGCGCGGGTGATTTTACAGAGGAATCTCTGAGATGGGCGGACAACACGTTCAGACTATTAAAAGAGCTCAGGATCGGACGGGATATTCCCGGCTCTTCTGCAGAAGGGCCCCGAGCCGCTGCTTTTACATTTATTGCACCTCTTCAGAGCCTCATCCCTGGCTTTAGGTGACTGAATTTTCCGAGGTGAAATAGCCCGAGAAGATCCGGTATTTTCGGTACAAGAAGGATGCACATAGGTAAGTTGGGGGACTGTTCGAGGAAGAAGAAACCGCGAAAATTCCAAAGCAAATTTGGCTGATTCGGCCGATAGCGATCAGGACGGGACTCCCGGAGGGTCTGACCACCTGGATACGGACTGGGCAAATGACTTGATCGATAGGAGATCTATCACAGGCTGTGTTTTGAAGATTTCTGGATGTACAGGGTGGCCAACTAAGAATGCGAGGTACTGTATCTGAGAATCTATCCATCGTAGAGGCTTGTGGTAAAAAAATTTATTACTAAAACGGCCACGAGCAAAACCTGGAAAATATTTTTAAGTTTCTGAAATGACCACTAGGGGGCGTAACTGCAATCTCGAATCTAAAAAAGTTATGTTTCTGTGAATTCCGCTATATTAACCTAACAAAAAAATGTCCCGTCTTTGAAGTTGACGATAATCTGAACAATTTTTGTTTGACAATTTTTCCTGTATCTCTAAAAATGAAGTGGTGGGGGGTATTCAAAGGTTTCCGTAAAGAACACCCTGTATCTTCGAAACGGCTGAGCCGATTTAAACAAACTCGGGTTAGTTCAAAAGAGCTATTCTTCAGCTACAAATATTATACTATTTGAAGTTTTGTTAGTTTCACATATCACCGCTTGAGGGCTTTTTTCGACGTTCCGACAGAAATGGTTAATTTTCTCAAAAAAATTAAATGCATTGGTTAGATTTTTTTTCATGAAAAAGTAGCTAAATGATGCCTAAACAAACTCGCGAAAACAGCATCTCGATATCTTGAGATATATATATATATATATTTTTATATCGTGATGGCCAGCATTTCGAGCATTTACGGCGGCATTAAAAGCTTCCTTTTTTAAATCGATCCACCTTAGGGCCACAAATTATATAATAAAAATAATTCCGGAAAAATTATCTTAAAAAAATAAAATTTTGAGGGTATAAAATTTTCTTTGGCCTAAATTTTAGGTTAGGAACAAGATATCGAGATGCGGTTTTCGCGAGCTTGTTTAGGCATCATTTAGCTACTTTTTCATGAAAAAAAAATCGAACCAGTGCATTTAATTTTTTTGAGAAAATTAACCATTTCTGTCGGAATGTCGAAAAATGCCCTCAAGCGGCGATATGTGAAACTAACAAAACTTCAAATATTATAATATGTGTAGCCGAAGAATAACTCTTTTCAATTAATCCAAGTTTGTTAAAATCGGCTCAGTCGTTTCGAAGATACAGGGTGTTCTTTACGGAAACCATTGAATACCCCCCACCACTTCATTTAGAGACACAGGAAAAATTGTCAAACAAAAAAGGTTCAGATTATCGTCGTCTTCAAAGACCGGGTATTTTTTTGTTAGGTTAATATAGCGGAATTCACACTTTTTTAGATTCCAGATTGCAGTTACGCCCCCTAGCGGCCATTTCAGAAACTTAAAAATATTTTCCAGGTTTTTCTCGTGGCCGTTTTAGTAGTAAATTTTTTTACCGCAAGCGTCTACGATGGACAGGTTCCCAGATACAGTACCTCGCATTCTTATTTGGCCACCCTGTACAGTCAGCTGGACGACAAGAAAATAGCGCACGGTTTCGTTATCGTCTACCGAAGCGGAACTTGCAGCGTTGCTAACAAAAGAAACACGTCAAGAACTGAGGAGGGTGGAAGGAGAGCTGACAAGGAATATTCGCAACAAGAAAATAATCCACTAAACGAAGAAGAGCCAAGAAGAAGCCAAATGGATGCGGATGGAGCAAGTAGATGAAGAATTAGGTACAATCTCCCCTTCCAATCTTACAACAGGAACCGAAGTAAATTAGCGTCTTCTAATTTTAATTGTGCGCCAAGGAAATTTATTTAAAATTACACTTGACGCTAATTTTAGTTTTGTTTATAAACAGACGAAGTGATGAGAAGTAGTCATTTACATTGCGCGTTTATGTTCAACAAATGCGACGTCTCGAAACTTTAAAAACTCGAACGGATATTCACATTGTTTATTTTGAAATCTTACGGCCGTTGTATCTTTGACATTAAGTTTATTTTTTACCGTTGACAAGAGATTCCCCCGATGATTGGTACAAACCAAAGCCCAACTGAAAACACGACGTGTCATCCTTCATCGCAGAGAAAGCCAAATTTTTGAAGTAGTACAGGGACAATGCTTTATAATGTTTTGATTGCCTAATCGATATTATTGAAAACAGGTTTGGCCTGCATTCCAAAAATGTTTGATTTATGCAGTGCACTGCCAAATATTTCTGAAGTAACTCAAAAATCGTTCATATTAAACATCCGTCCGCTCACTCCAGTGAACCACCTCTCCAAAGCGTCATTGTTTCAGTTACCATTTTACACTCGACGTTAACAATCAAGATTTTCTTTAAGCGGGAATGTCTGGTTATTCTTCAGCTGAGGATGCCAGCTTTTAGCAGACCAAATTTCAATGAAATAGTACCGAATGGAAATAGGGACCAAATTTCAAGTTAATAAAAAGGAAGATTATCAAAGATCGAAACCAACGTAATTTACATACCTACCGTAATTATTGACAGTGACCACATCGTCCGTCCAGTCAATGCATGTCAATCCAGAAAGCTCCCCATCAATATCGTCAACGCAATAAGAGTCGAGGTCAATAATTTCTTCTGCAAAAGGCACCCACAAGCTTCCATTTCTCTGAACAAAGAACGGATCTTCCGCTGCGTTTAACGAATAGATATTTCCATGCGGGCAGTAAATATAACCGTCAATTATTTTAATATCCAGGGCATCTTCGACGGGCTCGATCTCGTCAAAAATTTCGAACGTGATCTTTTCGCGTGTACGAACGCAAGAGTCCCCTCGAAGCACATAATCGACGCCGCAGCACTTCCTGACGCACGTTTTTGAATCGCACTCGCAATCGTTGATCGTTTCAGTGTAGGCGAAACTGGTGCTAAGGTACGAAGCGTCGAGGGGGGCGATTCGGTCCTTCTGGCACGACGGACGGACGTGGGTCACTTTGACGCACAACAGCAGCAAGATGGCCGCGAGCATTCTGACGTTGCCGGAACACGTCCGAATTTTAGGAAATGGAAACACACACGCAGCGGTTCATTTTTATCGACATTTATCGGCGATGAATAAACCCCAAGCGATTATCCAGTTATCAAAAAACAACCTAAATTGACCTAATAATGCGCCAGCATCTTATTATGTTCTGGTAAAGAATACTTAATAATACTCTTTGGTTCTGGTTCCGTTTGGCACGTCAATTCTAGTTAACAATAATTGCGTAAACGGTTAACAAGGTTTTTGTCCAGGAAGACCGCGTTCCCCACTCCCCTTGCCAGAGGTCCACCGTGCTCCTTCGTTCTTTTAGAAGCCTTAGAGGAGGGTTATCACAAATAGATTTTGGTTGGGTGTCATTCTCATGGAAAATGAGTGAGACCCACACCCTCCTTTGGTTTCTCGATCGCCACCACAACTCCACTTAATTATTTTCGACACCTTAACCGCCTAGGTCGATTTTTGGATATCCCTCTCGATGTGCTCCCGCATAATCTCACTTCTAGTACTATGCGATCAAAAAAGGGTTGCTGTCGAGTCGCCCTTGGAATTTTTGTTTATATGGAAGATCATATTTAACTTGAACTTCCAAAGCCGCCTCGACGTAAATTCTTTTTTGATCAGTCGTTACGTCAATTGTCCTTTCGAGTGTCCTCCTGGATTGGGAGACCCGCCATCAGTACTAGTCAGGGAGACATTTCTGAAAAGTGTATGTCTAACGGCGTTTTGTGCCACAAACTGGCAACAGGCGGTTCTAGACTAATTGGCCCCCGCTGAAAACGATGCGCCCTGTTGCCAGATCCAATTTTGGCATTTAAACCCTTAAATCCAAGATGGCGGGCGAAATTACCGTTTTTCGGTTATTTCGAGCCCACAAGGCACGCCACTGAACGTTTTGGGTAGTTTAAGGGTAGAATATCATCTAGTACACACGTCGACCTCGTTTAGGTACACTTTCGTATTCATATTAAGGGCCTAAATGCCAAAACTCCGTTTAAAAACGTCATAAATGCAAAAATTTGTCATTTTTTTTTCTTGCCGGTTATCGGCGTCCAATATGTATTCATATGGTCAAGTTAACATTTAAGTATGTGGGGACCTCCAGCAGCGTGATACCTATGCCTGGGGCCTAAATATCAAGATGGCGTCTGGAAAGTCCAAAAAACAGCGAAAAAGTCGTTCTTTTTGCCGTATTTTTACTACACTGGTCACACATTTCCCATTTCGATGGCCTGGAGCCATAATATGAGAATTGCGAATATCATTCTGGATGTTACACAACTGAAGGGCTTAACTGCGGAAGTGGGGACTCGTCTCCTATAAACTTTAACTATGGAACCAAGAGGCAGAAGTTGGTTTGGCGGCGTAATTTGAGGGCAAATATATTAAAACCTGCTTCCCAAGTTTTCTTTGATTTTTTTAAATTAAAACGTAACACTTGGCAGTCGAAACTGTTTAGAATATTGAGCACTAATACTGTGAAGAAGGTATTATGCAAGAATAAGAACATTGTCTCTTGAAGCACTGACGTTTTCTCTCTGGATTGTTTTTGGAATATTACACATAGACTAGGTACTGTAAAAATCACCACCAGAGGATGATTCATGCTGCATGGCCTAGGGAAAACTGAAACAGTCAAATGGAAGTCATCACCGCGAAAGAAGACATGAGCACCATTCTACGATCAATAGAGATGTGGCCTAACGTTTGAATAGAGCATCTTCATGCGTTAGAATGTAATGTGATATCATGTTAAATTAGTATGAACGAGCTTAATGTTAATGTAAATGTTAGAGTGAGTCGTTAAATCCCAGGTTAAATCCCAAAAAGACACAAAACCTTCCCCATACTATTTTAATCTCGATTTTAATAGACAAATTGTAAAAGCCGCGACTAGTTTCGACCAACGGTCACCTTCTGGCTTAAGGAAATTACAGAATAAAACTTGTTAAAATATTTTAGAAGTACACAATGCAAAATTTGAAAGGCAGCATGGGGTAAAAACGATGACAATTAAACAATAACATTAAAAAATATCTTCATTGAATGTAATCTTAGCCTACATGATGTAAAATTAATGGTCTTTTAATATTAAATGAAATATCGGGCGTAGGTGGAAGACGCCATCGAAGCGACACAGACGAACTTCAGGAGCGGCGCCGACGAAGACGCACAACAACACGCGAGTGCGCTGATTGATGGTTTCGCGAATCCGTTCGGTTCGAGATGATAATTCCACCCCCTCTCGTGGGGGTGTATTACGTCCGGGGTGGCAGTCGCAATTACTCATAATAACGTTCCAGAACATCAAAATGAACAGCGAACGTAAAGAGTGGCCAGTGTAGTAAAACTACGGCAAAAATAACGACTTTTTCACTCTTTTTGGACTTTACAGGCGCCATCTTGATATTTAGGCCCCAGGCATATGGCGCTGCTGGAGGTCCCCACATACTTAAATGTTAACTTCACCATATGAATGCATATTGGACGCCGACAACCGGTCAGAAAGAAAAAAAATGATAAATTTTTGACGTTTTTAAGCGGAGTTTAGGCATTTACGCCCTTAATATGAATACGAAAGTGTGCCTAAACGGTGTCGTCGTGTGTACTAGATGTTATTCTACCCTTAAACTACCCAAAACGTTCAGTGGCTGCCTTGTGGGCTCGAAATAACCGAAAAAAACGGCAATTTTGGCCGCCATCTTGGATTTAAGGGCTTAAATGTCAAAATCGGGTCTGGCAACAGGGCGCATCGTTTTCAGCGGGGGCGGGGGCCACCGCCAGTTTGTAGCACCAAACGCCGTTAGACATGATTTAGAGAGCCTTTTTCAGAAATGCCTCCCTGACTAAACCGCTTCTGTCTTCATTTGTCTTCTCCATTCATTCTCGTACCATGGCCGCCGCAGACTCCGTAGCCCTAATTGCCTATTCCAGTTTCTGGCTCGTTGCCACGATTGTAAAATGGTTCGCGTACCTTACTATCGTAACTTCTTAGTTTGAGTAACCCATCGTAGATCATGTCCGATAATGGAGGACCCAGCGAACTGATCCTTGAAGGCCTCCTTCGTCCACCATTTTGTTTTTTTGGACGGCGTGACTACGTCAGTAGAAACCAGACGCCCTCCACCATCTTGGATTGGTTGGTAACTACCAGTTTGGGCCATGCGGCCTTGTCGAGGGGAGATTTCGTAACTTTTGTGCGGTGGAGTGACATGGTTTTGTCGCGCATGGTTGTACCCTGGGATTTCCTCGACGAATCACTACTTTAGGAAGTAAAAAGAACTTTTCTGCACTCGGAATCTTATTTATCTTACCGTCAAATTTTATCAAAATCGGAAGAATACTGTAGGAGGGATTCCACATGATATTTAAATAATCTGACATCTGAGCGAAGAGAGAGCAGTACGGAAAGAAAGAGAGACGCCACATTGCAAACCTAAACCATTTTTCAAAGCGTTTAAGCAAAACAAAAGAGGTTCTGTACTTACATCTAAAGTTTACAAAAATATCCACCCACGAAAAGATTCACAGATGATATCACTACAATCACGCAAACTTTTAGGAGACAATATAATAATAATAATAATAGGTAATACCTTAGGTACCTAATGTTCACATATTATGCGTCTACGGACGATTGTTTGAAGATTAGCAGGAAAGTATTTCTTTTACAAAGAACGCATTTGAAAATAAGTCTGTAATTGAGTGGTTCTTGTCTCGGCTAAACTAAAATAGGTTCTTGTCCTTGCTGTCGTAAAAAGGGTCCAATCCTAGCGGAATTTCCCTACGTGGATTTTCATCGGCGCGAAAACCGTGGTCACGTGTTCAGCTGTTATGCGTTTTTTTTAAAGCTTTCGAGCTTAATTTTATGTAGTTCCGGTTTTAAGTTAATTTGATTATTTTTGTACTATTTCTCCAGAAAGTTCGAGTTTTTTAAGGGAATTTTTCGAAAATTTGTCCGTCTGCTGACTGCTCCTCGTCTAACTCGAGAACAAAAAGAGGCAGAGACGTGAAACCTTCTTCCATCGATTTCCACTACGAGTTCAAGTGCTATTGAATATGAGCCCGACTAGAAGTCGTGTTTCCGAATGCGAGGTGATTTCATCAGGTTTACGCGGTAAGTATCTTATTTACGGAGCAATCCTTATGAAATTCCGGTGGTAGGGTCAAAACATCATATGCGAATATCTTGAGCAGCATCTTGTTGATCACAGGCGACGACAGGCAAACAGTAAAAATACACCAACATCGAACAATATATGAAAAATTTTTTAGTTTAGATTAAGAAGAATCTATCATGCCGAAGAGAAAAAGAGCCATTAGCAAGAAGGAACAAAAAAGGAGAAGAAGCTCAAAATCCAAGTGGGTCGAGCTGAATCAGGAACTCGAACAAAAGAACAAATGCGAGGTCGTGCCATTCGAAAAATTAGCGCAGTTCGCGAAAAAGAGCAAGGATCATATTCCGCGGGTGAATATTTCTTGGGACAAACAGACTATATGGGAGTTTTCCAGGTGCATCTACCAATGCCGAATTTCCTTAGTGGGTATTTTGAAATGACCCAATCTACCTGCTATCTACTGAGTCATAACTCTAAGCAACTTAAAATGATAACGACTCACCAAGTGTGTACAGTGACTTTGGCTCTTCGGGAGGGCCATCCACACAGACAAACGCCGACAATCCAATATCGTGGAAATTCTCCAAGCAATAGTTCTCCCGATAAATTAATTTGTTCACCTCGGGCTGCCACAAACTTCCATTGGGCTGGAAATAGAAGGTTTCATCGGGGTAATCCAAGGGCTCCAATCTATAGTGGGAGATTCCCTTAGGACACTTCACTCTGCCTGCTACGTAACGAAACGTAAGATTTTCCGCGACTGGGTTAACGTCATCGTAGACGGCAATTTTAAAACTTTGGGTGTCGTTAAAAATGCACGTTTGGTCGGAAAGGGTGTAATTTAGGTCACAGCACTTTCTAATGCAAATATTTGTACGATTATCACAACCACACTCACTAATTGTTCCATTATAGACGTAGTCACCAAGGACATAATCCTCACCTTTGTGATTGAACTGAATTTCACAGGTATTTAAAACTACAGTTACGAGACTCAAGATAATCACTGGCGCGAACAAGGGACGAATCGCACATTTCATCACTAAATTTTCAGCGGTTTTTTTTCGACTAAGCAAACGACGGAAAAATCCAAACGAACGTAATTTCGTTTACCAAGTTCTTATTACAAGATAAGGCGATATGATAAGATGCGTGAAAAACGACTGATCAAATATGAACTACTCTCGTTTTGTAATTTATACCAAGAGGAACAATTTGTTAGAGAATGCGCTGGCATCTCAATGTTAAACTGGACTAAATTTAGACAATATTTCTCTTGGGAAATTCTTGCTCATCGGCACGTTTTTATATGAAAAATCCAGGGACAATTTTTGTTTTATGTGGGAAGGTGTGGGACGCGCGTTGCGTCTTCTTCGTTCGAACGCAAACTGACTACGCGAAAATTCGCGGTTTCCAACGTCCAGAGCTAAGTCGAAGGATCGATAGTTTTTTTTTTCTTTGAGTCATTGTCGAGATCGTAATTT